GAACGTTCCCTTTCACATTCTTACACTAAATTTGTAAATAGGGTTTCGAAAGTTAACTTCCTCAGTCATTGACTTAATCAATTAGTTATAATTGGCATTTTTTATGGAATAATTGAGAAAATCTGCAACAACATTAAAAAACATTTTCATAAAAATTAGTGAATGGATTTATAAAAACCTATAGAACAATAAAAGAAAGTGGGATGGATCATAGTAAAGCACATAATATTTTTACGCAATTTTTTATTTATAAAATTATATAACGAGAATTGCTTTTTCAGCCCAAAATTGGTTTTTATTTACAGATTTGACCTGGGTTCTCTATAGTACCAGTAATTTGGCTTTAACAATAATTAGCGATCCGATGAAATCAGTTTCTGATGCAACATCATCTTGCACTGCAATTGGAAAAAGCTTGGTTTCTATTAAAACTAATGCATTAGATTCATTGTTGACGACAAAACTATCTCAGAAGTAAGTATTGTTGTAAAGGTACTTACTATTAATTATCGAACCCACTTGATTCTGACACTAATATACATGAAGTTTGCACGATTGTCACATCTGTTTACCTTTAAAATACCTTTCAATGAGGCGTTTAGATTTATGTTTCAATAAATATTATATACAGTCTTTATAACTCAATGTATCTGAATTACTAATTAAGACTCATTTTAAACGCAACGTTTTATCCGGCCCGTGAGCATGTTTCTAGATTTAGACACTTTTTTTTTTATTTACATATGAAATATACTTTGATTGCAAACAGAAGAATTTTTAGGACAATGAAAAAGTCGATTATAACATGCGACTAAATTTCCTTTACATCGCCGATTGTTTTCGTCACCTCGAGGTGTTATTTAGAACGTGAACACCTTAACGTCAGGGATTAGTCTCCTAAAGTCACAAAGATTCCTCAACATATTATATATGCCTTGTATACGACACTGTGGAACCATTGGAAAAAAAACGAGTTATTATATAATCATCGGCGACGAGATGCTAAAGATAAATAATAAAGATAATAAATGCTAAAGAGTGAATCTGCAAGCAACCTAAATCTAAATTTAGAGCGGCAATATGAAATACTAAAAATTGAACAGAAACAAGTTATGATTCAAACGGCTCGCAACAGATTAAAAGCGCTTTTGTGAAAATGGAAACTGAAAAATGTCTGGTGCCCACTGCACACATTTTAATTGCGTAGCTTTCGTGGGCGCGATGTACCTTTTGATCAATTCTAAAACTACCGACTGGCCCTGATTTATAAGATAATTAATGTAAGGTAAACTTAATCGGTTTTTATGTAACTAAAATGAATTTTACTCGGTGTACTTTTATCGCAGGCGTATGGATTTTTCTGATGGTAAAATCTTTAAAACAGAGCTAAGTCAGTGTTGCAGGAACAGATCAGATTTGTCGAATTCACGAAATCGCAAAACACGAATAAAAATAATCTGGCACGTTACTTCACATTTTAATGTCCACGGAATGCGGTGGTATTTCAGAATTGTAATGCTTATATTTTATCAAAGCAGCCACGGGTTAGGTTGAAAACAACAAGACATTTCAATGCCCGTATCAATGCATTTTGAATATATCCGTATCGCAAAAATAGATATAGTATATAAAGTATATTCCGGCAGTTTATCTCACATTCTTAAATCCGCAGATAACCGTGGTATTTTAGAGCAGACTTTTAAGCTCGCAACGCCTTCCAATGCATTACAATTTCCGCGAACCTTGTTCACTTTAAAAATGATATGATGACAGCAAAGTTATATGAGTCACGATGGCCACCAAAGGCCACCCCAATTCCGCATTGTTAATCACTTTTCACCAATAATGACAAAATTGGCATTGTTATGCAAGCGTCCAGTTTCTCTGATCTAATGTATTGTCTCGAAATCGCCAGATTTATGTTTAAACTAGTTTTATTAAATGTGCTTTGAATAAAAATTCTAACAGAGTACAACAGATATAGTACTTATTTATATACTTACTTATATATAGTACGTATTTAAATGTGTAATAAAATACAATAAAACGGGCAATTGACTCTACTTAGTCCGGCCCGCCACTGCATTTTGAATATTCAATGTGGCCCGATACCAAAACTATTTGCCCAGCCCTGGTCTACGCAGTAATTATGCGCGAATCGGCAATTGCTACCTGAGTAGAGTGTGAGTAGATGTTTAATTTTCAGTGGAACCATAGATTACTGGACAAGTGGAAGTGATTCAGAGACAGAAGGCAGTTGGAAATGGGAAGATGGAACAACTTTCAGTAAAACTGATCCGAATTGGTGATTTGATTATTTATATACGTATGACATCAAGCTAACTTGGAGGCATTTGCTTCTATTATATTCACTAAACTTCTAACTCGGTTATAAATGTCCAAAGCGTCAAATATTCTATCGCAATACATGTAAACCACGCAACTACAAGCGCAAGCATTGCGCGCAGATGAAAAAGGACCTTCCTCGCAACACTGGATTTTGAGCGTCACGTGTTTACTGTATAATTTATATTGACTAATTGAATACATTTCATCGTCAATTATAAGTGATTTATCCCCCCCCCCCCCAAATTTGCAGGTTTAGCCCGCATTACACCTTTTATTTGTTTAAATGAATATATTTATATAAAATATCAATGTCTCTAGTATTTCATATTTTCAAAAAAATAAATGCATCAGGATCTGCGCTTTTTCAAAATAAATTGTCATAAATTGTCGAATTCAACTTAATTGTCACATTTATTCAAGCCCAAAAGTGTGAAAGTTATTGCTGGAATTTACCTTGAGCCTTTATACTTCATAATTTCATATTATTACAAGCAAATTTATTTTGCACTTTTCTTGTAGAATAAACGCGTATATATGATAATCATTCATTTTGCGAGTCTAGGATGAATTGGATAAAATGGGGAACCGAGCCAAATGGTGGAAAAAGTGAAAACTGTTTGATGAAATATGCCGAAGCAAAATATAAATGGCTTGATGCCAGTTGTTTAGTAAAAGCTGGCTATATCTGTCAGAAGAGTGAGTAATCAAACTTTTTTACCTAAATTGAGGTTAATTTCTAAAATCCACCGATTTAAAAAACATATTTAAAATATTAAGCAAATTATCTCAATTATATACTGCTGATAAAAAACTTGGATTTTATTTTGATAATACCTGTAAGTAAATGAAAAATCTATAATAAACATATATCGTCGAGTAATGTTACACTGAATGTTACATTTATTGTCAATAATTTGATTTTTGAAGCAATATTTTCCGATGTAAAAAGAAACCAACTGAAGATATTTCATAAGACATAATATGCACGTATACTTTCATATAAAATTCAATATGTGTGATTACGACTTCCATTCTCACAATCCCGCAGCAGAAAAATACTATGTATAATTTCATATTATAATATAATAGCAAATTAGCAATGTACTTAGGCTACTTGAAAATATTACATAATCCATTTACCACTGACTATTGTTTGAAATCCTTTATATATAAAAATGAACATCGTAAATAATGTAATATTGCAAGGAGTTATGAGTTGTTCGTTGAAGGTTTGTTCATACAAATACTATATACGATCTATAATTATATATTCTCAGGTGTGTCATCTGGAAACTGCGGTAGTGATGTGTGCCTAAAAAAAGGGAGTTGCAAGATTAAAAACCCACGGTATACATGTACATGCAATGCGGGGTATTTTGGAACAAAATGCGAAAAAGGCAAGATTTTATGTGAATAAATGAATTTCTGTAATAATATGATATTATTCAATTTTGTTTTCCAAACTTTGATACTAATCATTGATACGTTTTGTTAATTGAGTCATAAATTTATTAGGTATATATTATATAGAATCAAATAGTCTGAATTGCTAAAGACATGAAAATAAGATTTCATCTTATCGAAATTTTATCGCGAATTCGTTTTCCGTATTGTCTAGATCTTATAACAATCTCTACGACACCTACAACAAGAAGTGTGAACAGTGGCCAAAGCATCGATGTTCAATTCAATATTGAATCCTATGATGGAAACGTTAATGTTGATGTCAGAAATCAGAATAACGTAAAAATTAAAACCGTTACCACCAGCAATATCAGTAGCAGCAATCCTTCAACTACGTTGACAATCAACATTGGTCCCATAGATGTTTCGTCGACAACTATTTCGTACAAATTTGAAGCTGGTCCTCAGAGCAACAATCCGTCTTACTCGAGACTAGTTACTTTGACGTCGGTAGTTAGTGGTATGTATATAAATAAATTACTCTTAAATAAATTAATAATAAATTATTCTTTGCATTACAAAGAATATATTGTGTTCGTGATAGAAAAAATTAAAGAGAGTAAATTCTTTCGCGATGGCTTCTTAGATTTTTTTCCATGCATATCGACTGCAACTTTCTGAAATGTGTCTATGTTAAGAAATGTGGGATATTTTATCAATGATGTATCCACGTTTTTATTTGAACATAATATGTGGCTATAAAGGTATTTTTTTTTTCCTAGAAAACTAACAATAAATTTCCCTTCGCAATCTTAAAATTAATATCAATCCCAATTGGGACAGCGTAAATGTGAATATGTGTACAAATTTACTTAAAGATGCCTGCGATTCATCACCTTGTAATAATGGGGCCACCTGTCGATATACGACTGCAGAGCCATATTACAATTGCACTTGTCGGCCAGAATACAATGGAACTACTTGTGAAGGTAAATAAAAAGCGCATATATATATCCAAAGTTTACAAAAGCTCGGAAAAGGAAATGATATAAACATCCAAGTATACTGTTATGTAAATGTGCAAAATTTTAGTACATACAATTCACAAATTCTACGCTAGAAATCTATACAAAAAATGCTGTTAGTGTACTTGTACATTATTTTATAACCATTTTGTCTTTGTAGTAATTATTTTAAATAATCATATATTGTAAACCCTGGTTTACATCAAATTGTCATCTTGTATCATGCTTCGGAAAGTAAAATTTAAATTTTCTAATAGATTATGTTTTACAGATTTGAAGTATACGTTTAATGGAAATTGCAAATATCATGTCAACTATTACATAAGGAAAACATTTGGTGGATCAAATGCAACTTGCAATAGCCTTGGAGGAGCAGTCGCAATGATGAAAACAGACGCAATACAAGATTTTGTTGAAAGTCAAATAATAGCTCAATATGGTGAAGGAGGCACAATTTCATTTTGGATTGGAGCTTACAAACCAAATACCGATTGGTCATGGTTTGACGGTATGCCTATTACCAATGGGAAGTGGTCGTGGTTTGCAGTAAGCAGAGGAAATGGATATTTATATATGAGTTCTTTCGCGACGACGAGGTACAATATGAGGTGGATTAATAATGACGGGTCAAGAACTCAGGGATATGTTTGCGAGGTTCCAAGTAAGTTTTCGAAGCTACCATGCTCTCTTTATTTTCTAATTTGTCCTTATTTTTAAATTTTGTCCTATTTTTATCTATGGGATAAACTTGATATAAATTTCAATGTTTTGAAAGGAATGATGCTTCAATAGCGTAAAATTCTAACGATATGCGCAATATAGTGTTTCTCTGAATTCGGTTGATTCCATCTGCGCAAATACGTTTTTTATTCCTCGCAATTTTTAATTTTTTCTAAGCAAATATGTCATCTTCAAATTCATATATCATATTAGTCCGGCAGATAAGGGTCCGGACCTTTTTGGCCCAAGTTTGATTTCAGACATAAAGTTTTTTTTATTTGTGATTATTCATCTTGCGGTCATTGCCCATCATTTCTACATGGGCGTGGAGTTTGCAGCCTTGAGCAATTTTTTTACGGCTCGATATTTGTATTAGTGTTTTTCGTCAAACCTGTGCATCATAATGACGCACAACCTGAACCATAACCTGTTACAATACTATGTTCAGGTTGTGCGCAATCTTGGTGCACAAACTACGCAAGCACCAAATTTACTAGGAAATAAAATCAATAAATTTAGGTATTTATTGAGATATTTGTATTAGTGTTTTTCGTCAAACATGTGCATCATAATGACGCACATCCTGAAACATAACCTGTTACAATACTATGTTCAGGTTGTGCGCAATCTTGGTGCACAAACTACGCAAGTACTAGATTTACTAGGAAATAAAATCAATAACTTTTAGGTATTTGTTGAGCCCAGCTTCCATATACAGTATATGGAAATACTGTCGAAACATACGCGTAAAATAAAGAGTACTATTTCAAAATACCCGTTTTTGTTGCAATTAACAAAACAAGCCTGCTAATGCAGTCGCCAGTGGTTCAAGTGGATATACACCCGGTGGAGAACAGTCAATTATTTGTTAGCGAGAATTGTTATGCAGCGGGACGACGACGCAGTGAAAGATAATGATATCACGAGAACAAGAATGAGAAAATTGCTACATTTCATAGTATATCCCTGGGAAAGAATGTAGTTCATTCTTATGTTCCATGCCAATGCTTTTCAAACTACCATAGACTCTCAACACTTTTGCTTCTTCTCTTCTATAAAAATACATTGTTATTATATGTTCGCATTCCATCTGTTTGTTCGTGCTCCCAGATAACCGATCAGCGGCCTCCAAGGAGGACGGGGTCCCCTTTTAAGAAACCCTGTCATAAACTAAGAGAGGCGACCGTGCTTCTCTTGCCTGTTGTCATGCTGTTCCTGGCATTCAGCTACAACAAAAATTTCACGAAAACGGATTTTTAAATTTTATGATTTTATTAATATTCTCAGCAATGAATGATATACGGGTGGTAAAATGCCAAGTTATTCCAACAACATGATCATGTTTTGCAATTCACAACCAATATTTTGCATGTAACTTTGTTTGACAGAGCCCCAAGAGCTCTAACTACAAATATCAAAAATGTGATGCCAAAAAAGTCACATTACAACATTGTCAAATGTGTAGTATTTACGATAGATAACAGGTTTACCAAAAAGAATTACAATAAAGATCAATTCAGAAATATCTACTTGGTGATATGCATCTGTTGATGATTTTATGTGTTTGTTTCGGAAGTTTAATAACAGAATTAATTGTGGTTGCTGAGGATGTTTTAAAAAAAGGTTGCATGGAAAAAAGTTTTCACAAAATGTCAAGGTTTGATAGTAGTAGAGAAGTAGAAAAAATACTCCCATGTTTTTTTTCCATTTGATAACCACGGCACAGAACTTCCCCGATAAGTATACGCAACAGCTGTGAGAGGCAGAAATGCCAAGATGGGATTTCATCGCATTGCAAACCAATATTAGCAATTCTTATATAGTCGCGCATGCCCATCTGAACAGCGTGGAAAAGATTATACCCATCTACACACTTTAAGAACTATTCAGATGGGCGTCATATTATCGAATATCAGTAAAGGAATAGTGCAATAGGAAAAGATATATAAGGCGGAACTTTCAGTACTATGCAATCAAAGAATCTCATTGTAGAATGAAGCGGGGCTTAGATACCAATTGGCACTCATGTAAACTGGTAAGACTGTAAGAGGCACGCAATGGAGCAGATACTAAGAGTATCCATCCCCCATTTGGCATTTGAGTGGGTACTGCTGTTTTTATTGCTGATGTTACTGATCTTTTTGTATTAAAGATTTACTGGCATCGCCGATTTAAGGATGTTGAAAACCAACACGCAATATTACAAAACTTACTTTCAACACGCGGTTTGAATGAATGAAAATGCTGAAACTAGTATTCTTTAGAACAGCATACAAATTCTATGGAATGAAATCATACACAAAGGCTCGTAAAAAACCTATAGCTCAATAATCAAGTGGAATTTGATGCATGTGCGCAAAAATGTGCGCGTTACTACGTACAACCGAATAACCCGGAAAATGTGTGTGATGAACTAGTATTCAAAACGTTTGAATCAACTATGTTGGCATAACAGGTGCACGTCTCGGTTTTGCATACGCATACCTTCTATCTCCACAAGAATATATAAATTTTGCCGAAGTCAATGCAGCACTGAAAGGTTGCGGTTCTTCCAAAAGAAAACACGTTACAGATCTTTAGATATCAGTGGATGGTTTTACATGGCTTTGTTCGGAGTGAAAGACGAGGTCAAGTATTCCAATCCAATTCAACTAATAAAATATTTCCCCTAAGCCAGTGGTTCTTAAAGTATGGGTCGCGACCCAAACATGGGTCGCGTAAGGTTTAAAAATGGGTCGCGACAAGGTCGTCAATGCAAGGGCAATCTAAGAGGAGAAGGAAGAAGTTTCAGCTTTCCCAATGTTTCAATTTAGCTTCTAAACTCTGGTATTTAAAAATAATGAAATATAAAATTTCATTGACGGAAAGAACAGTCTTAAGCTCATTGTTACATCACAATTCTGATATGCCAGTCACGTGTATTATTTTTATGGTATCGGTAACCATGCACCTCGCTTGTCGTTGTGTTGACCGTGTGGAATGTCGTCTTAGTGGATTAAAATAACCAAAAATGGGTGTCTTTTTGGTAATGTAAATTGTAATAGACGACGCAATGAAAAAGCTCGCTTCTCGACATTAGATTATTCAATATCTGGAGAAAATGTGACTTCATCTCGAGGCACCATTTACCGCGAACGAAGCAGTGTGTGCATATTTGATGAGTAAAAAATTGTACATTGCGAGAGATACCGAAGGCCAGCTAGGATGTCGTGTTTGCGACGGACAGCCGACGCCTTTTCTGCTACAATTCGCGACAAGGCACTTGTGCGAGCGAGGATATTTGGCACTGAGGGTTATCAAACTCAAGCTCGCAATCGCCTCGATACCCGTGACAACTTGCGTATTGCGTTAAGTAAAATAGAGCTGTGTATTGAAGATATAATGAAAAGGAAATTCAGAAATCAAAAGGAAATTCAGTTTCATCAATATCACTGAGTCAATGGACTGTTTCTAATAAATAGTTGTCTGTATTTGAGTCAAACTGTACTAACATTAAAAACACATTTTGCGTTATTTAGGATTGGGTCGCGAGTATTCATAAAACTCAGATTTGGGTCGCGCTCGAAAAAGTTTAAGAACCACTGCCCTAAGCCATAAGTCCCTAAACTTAAACTAGGAAAACGAAATGCGCGCGTCAACGCAAAGTAGTTTGAAGAGCGCAATAGAAAGTGGCTAGATGCTGTCTATGGATCTTGGCTTGTATTAGTGAAATAAACTACCATTTATTCTACCAAAATTGAATTTCTGACATTGTAAGGAGATTCAATGTTACTATGTATGCAAAACTAAACCATGTAGTTATGAAATAATTGTTTTTAACAAAAAGGCGCTCCTGAAGTATTCGCACCAAGATGACACCAGGTTAGGGTTCAGGATGTGCGTCATCTTGGACCGAATACTTTAAATTCACTTTCATACATTCAATTCACAAAAAATTGTAGTGTAAAAGTAGAAGCGAAACAAGGAGGAAAATTAGAAGACAGTCAACTCATCAAAGGTGCCAAACTGGCTATCATAACTTGTCTATTTGAACCTCCAAAACCTAAAACCATGCATAAGCTTGATGCTACTTCTGTAGAAGACTACAAACAGTTGCAAGAATATGAAAAAAAGAAGTTTCAAGTACCGATTGAAATCGATAAGTAATTACAGGTTATCATAAATATGCAAATCAGTGTTCTTGTAAGACGAAACACTTGTTTGTGATAATGCAGAAACACTTGTTTGATATAGGAATTAAAATATTTTTTATATTCAGCCGTTGACTTGTGCTCTCCATCTCCTTGTCTTCATTGGGGAACCTGCTCAAGTATTGGGTGTCAAAGAAGTTGTAAATGTGTGGATGGTTTTACAGGAAATAATTGTGAGACAAGTAAGTAAAAATATGATAAAATCAGTTTGAAACAACTATATGTCTGGGTTATGACATAAATTTTTTTGTGTTTTGATAATATAATCAAGTTTAGTTGGTAATTTGGGTAAAAAACTTACATAAATTTTTTATGTATATATAATGAGAATAAACAATTTTATTTTAAATTGCCTACTAAACAATCTTCTTCTGAGATAATTTTGTTTTCTTAGATGTTTTTCCATTTGTATGTATAATTTACTTTACAGGCATAAAAATTTAAAAAATTGCATAATGCGTTGTATTTAATTCTCTAGGAATAAAAATATGAAACCTTTTACTTTTATTATTTAATTTAAATTATGAATAACATAAAATTGATTTGCAGCTCCAATTTCAATCTCCTCTTCAAAACATAATTACACTGCGAACATCGGGGAATCTATCACAGTGACGCTGGATATTCAAAGCAATCACGGCCCAGTGAGAATACAAGCCTTCAAAAATTTAAACTTCTACAATGTGATTTCTACCAAACAAAATGTTGTTTCAAATGTTACAGAAATACAAATTGGGCCTTTTATGGATCCCAGCACGAAAACCATATATACTTTCCGCGCGGACCCTGAGTCCAACCTTGGTGCCTATTTCACATCAACATCGATAACTGTTGTTATTGAAGGTATGGACAAAATAAATTTCAAAATACAAGTAACCTCATTGGAATGAAAATGAATGAACGCCAGATGCAATCTTTAATTGCAAGATTTCAATCTTCGTAAAAAGTAGCATATTCGTTTTTATATAATTTATAATATACATATAAAATAATTATTTATAATATATAATTCAGCTGGAGCTACAATAAGTCAGCTACGACCAACAGATATCACCATTGGAACAAGTCCATATTCTATCAGATGTTACGCAACCGGCGTGCCATTCCCAACTATTCTTTGGTACAAAGATTCAATACTTATCACCAAAAGTAGTTCATCTAATGTTTATCAACGGATATATACAACTTATGCTGGATTATATGCCCAGAAAGCCAACATTTCTGATGCTGGAATCTATACTTGCGTTGCATCTAATACAATAAAAGGAATTGAAAAGTCGGCAAACTCTACAGGAGTCATGAGATGTGAGAAATTGTAACTTTTGGATGGTGTTTAAATCTTAATAAAATGAAAGTGAACATATGGTTCGTTTTTCAGAAATGATCCGTCTTAAAAAAACTGGTGATGTGGTCGTACCACAGTTGTGGTCGTATCGTTACTAAAGGTTGCTTGAGACTTAGTTTGAAGTTTAGCTTTTGAATGATCAAGTATCAGATTTAATTCAAGTCGCATATGCTAACGGTACTTACTACCCTTTGTGTTAGTAATGATTTTAGCAATTATAACTTAAATTACACAAACTCATATTATCTTCAACATTTTCAGAATATTTTTTATTATTTTCAGCCAAAATAATCTTCGTCAACTCCTCAGTAATATCGCCTACCATCACCTCGAAATGTCTTCAAATAACGTGCTCTTTTGAAGAATTTACTATTCCCACAATAGATTGGAAAGTTAAAAAAGAAGAAGGTTATATGAAGATTTTCCCAAATTTTCCTGGATCAGTGTTCAGATATCAGAATTATGCTGAACCGACAGTTTACCCGATTAGAAACTCAAGTCAATTATATATTTTATTATCCGAATATTTGGGGAAAATTGAAGTTGTCTGCTACGCATGGAATGAATTCGAAAAATCTTCGGATGAAAACGTTTTTCAAATGAACCAAAGTATGTACTAACAATAAAACTTTACTATGTTTCCGTAGTGCCCCCTCCCATTTTTTTAAATGCAATTTTGCGACATTTGCAGTGAGAAATAAATTCTTACACCTATTCCAACACCATTTTAGTTTATTCTTCAACGATTAACTGAAAACTACCTTTTTCTGGCTTGCTATCAAAAATCCCCAAATTTTTGGCTGTTTGACATATAAAATTTTATAATGTAGAATGGATACAAATTAAGAATCAACAACCACTTATTCGGTTGAAGACGAGTCTGTTGAGGGATATTGAAAAGCAACAGTGTGAATATCTTTTTGAGTTTTTATGACATCATAGCAGAAATTTATTTTATCATTAACATTTGTCAGTACTAGACAATTTGCTAACGATATCACAATGAGAACAGCTATATCAATTACTCTTGTTACAGTTGTTCGGAGTTCAAAATAGGTTCCAAATTACTGCTTTAAGTACACCGAGCCTTGCGAATTCAAAATTGTATATCACTTGAAATTGAAAACAGTCGAAATACTGGACTAATGTTAAGACGAAAGTGAAAGTAACAAAAAATTACATAAAATGCATACCGATAACGTATTTGATGGCCCATAGAGCGCCGTTTCCAATATTTCCTTTTCAAAATCCGATTGTGTGCCTTATGAGGCAGTACGCATAATGTATGGATCAGGTGGTGCTTTATTATGCTATAGGATGTGCCACCACTCCAAAATAGTACCGTGAGCCGTATAGCCCGATGCATCCAATATTCCGTAAAATACGGTAGATATTACAAAAACGTTTCATATCTATGTAAAAGAAATAGCGTATATGTAGTAAGAATTAGCGATATCGTGTCATGTTTTTATTTATGAAAGTAAAAACATTGGAATAGTCCTAATTTGTAAAATTTGTTACAAGAAGATAAATAATATTAAACATAAATACAATTAGAAAAATATTTCAAAATGCATATTACTAGATGTTGCGATATCTACCGGAAAGTTGTATAAGTTATTCGGAAATATACAAGACGAAAAAAGGAATATGTCCGGCGCTCAACACTATTGCTATTCTACTGGAGGTCGACTGGCTGAAATTCCCAACAGTAAAACTCAAGCATCTCTTAAATCAATGATTATTCAAACCGGGTTTGCATCAAACAGTAAGTAATCAATAACTCATTGAAATGTGAATATATCTTATATTAGGTAGAACTTTTATATGAAATCGTAATTCAACGACCAATAGTTTTGGCAGACACGACGCTAATTTTATTATTTTTTATTAACAGTATATGTAGGTGCAAAAAGGACAATTGAGGACAATAGTGAAATATGGAGATGGAATGATAACACATTGTTTTACAACGAGACGAAGAATGGAAGGTTTGTATAAATTCACCTTTTTTGTGCAAATTTCATCAAACAATTCGTATGACGCGGCGATATGAAACGTAATATGAGAAATCGAAGTTTTGGGAAAATTCGAAGGCCAAAAGTATATATATAGGAGTAAAGCCTATAAAATAAAACAGCAATTAAGAGATGTGCACAATTTTATTAATATATCAAGTGTGGCTTTGTAATTTGCTCATCAATTTTGTATTATGCCAGTAAGCAAAGAACGACAAGATTGTCTTGGCTATACTTCTGAACACAGTGGGTAAACGGATCAAATACGGAATGCACTTTTTCCCCCCAAACACCTCATGTTTGAAAAATATAATTTTGAATATAGAATGTTTCATGATATGCTAATTATATTAGGATATGTATGAAAAATTGGTCAGGCTATGTATGGTTGGTTACTCGAGGATATCAAATATTATATTTGTTCCACATGAGGTTGGACCTTTTTCATCTAATTCTAAAACATTTGACATCCTGATAATAAACTCTATTGGGCATGAAAAATAGGATGTGTTTTAACAATTCACTTATCTTACAACACAAGGTAAGTGGATTGTTAAATATGAAGAATACCATGGTATGCACGAAACAAACGAGCAGTTATTGATAGGTCAAATGTCAATTTTTAATCTTTGCCTATCAACAAAATAGCAAATGTTTAGATGGATACAGAATGAAAGTTTTGCAGATGGAAATTATGTTGCTTGGCATAAAGGAAGACCCTATTATGATGTATCCTGTCTAATTTTGCGATCAAATTATCAGTGGGAATGGGCTGATTCCTATTGTATATCAATTATTGGCTTCATTTGTGAAAGAACAAGTAAGATACCTACAAATCAACTTTTTTACATTTTCGGAAACATTTAATTTGAACGAATCACACAAACTATAATTTGTCTTGTACGGTCGATATCAGATTCGACTAAACAAAACATATCCGTCTTATTTATACGATATCTTTGTTGTTGCTTGTAATATATGCAATTTCAACGAAACCATTTTATGCATATGACTCATAATAATAGCTTAGTAATCCAAAGCATATAGCGTTGCGAAAAGCCTGTTTTGCCTTAACTTAATTACCTCCAGGTGAACTTTAATTCCTCATACAAAAAAGATTTTGATAAAAAATACTTCTGCGATCTAGCTACGATCTGTATATTTTCTGTTCCTGTCCGTCGCGAATGCGTCACTTCAACAATTTTAGTTTGATATTTTTGACTCATTTCCTTAGCTTCAAATCTAGAAGTTATAGTTATTAATTCACCAATTTCAATTGCAGTTCCGGATATCACAAAAAATTTTAATGCAACAGTAGACGAATGCAGCACTAATATAACACTCAGGTGGTTTACTTCAGCAGAAGCGGTGGGAGTTTTACACAGGTTTTTTTCATACATAATTGAATTAAATATTAGTTAGGCTACAAATTTAAATGCAAAATACCAATGCATTGAAGATTAGAGTTTCATCGCAAAATATTAATATTGTTTTAATATATTAAAGAATCGATGTCATACATGAAGAATCAAATACGACTTTACAAAACTGGAGAACAGATGTTGTTCCTTCCCATCAAAATTTGATGTCATTGAGACTATTAAACTTAAATTATTCTACAGCGTATCTTATCCGGGTAAGTATTTCTAAAATAAATGATAAACAGAGGCATTAGCTAGTAGAGCAGATTTTGATTAGTCAAAACCATTTTATAATCAATTTCAGCTTTTCATTAAGATATTACACTGCAGTCGCGCTAGAGAATTACGTTTGAGGAATAGTGTTAATCTGATATGATGTTGATGTTTCATGTATCAGAATGCAAATGATAATTAGTACTGCACATTAGTACTCACAATCACGTGCGATAGGGTCACGTAAAAGCCTTATTCCTTATCTAATCAACAATCTTAATAATATTGTTACAAAGAATATTTGACTATAACAGTTGACTTCAGTACCGTAGAATGGAGCAGAAACCGGGAGTAAGCAACAGACTTTAGCGCGGTTGTCCCGAGTCCCTTTTTACGAAAAAATATAGTCTCACGCTGAGGTCATGAGAACAATATCCGCGCAATATTGTTAAAACCAAATTAGAGATATTCGTGGACCGCCTCCATGTGTAACGACATTTTACTTTTCAATTTACCCAAATCACATCATATATATATATTCTTTTCCTATTTCAGATGACTGTTTGTCCAACTGAGTGTGGGCATCCATTTGTAACAAGCAGAAAAATAAGAATAAAAGCTGCGATTGCTTCTAACATTTTGGCAATTGAAGCTTATGTAACGAAAACAACACAGAACAAATCTTGTTTAATATCTTGGAAAGTTGATGCAACAAAATATGAAATACTTAGATTCAAAGTTTGTCTTTGTATTTTAATATCTTTAGTATTCTTGAAATTCCAAATTTGTATTCTTTGCTCACCAAAAATCTTCAAGCTTATTCTAACAGATGCCAGAAGTTTTATGTACAGGCTGAGATTATTTTTGTAACAATGTCATTTGCAGATACGCGCAATGTCAGTTCTTGTCTACACAGCAATTGAACCAAATGGGCCACATATAGAAGAGCTCAATGCAGCCACAGACCCGAACCACGTAGACTTTGCTTATTCCTTCAACAGAAAGTATTCATTTAGCATCCAGGCAGTGACATGTACTGGTCACGGTCCAATGTTCGATGTTTTGGGAAGTTGTGTCACAGAAAGAGGGGGTGAGTTGACAGAAAAAATATGTCTCGTTATTAACGCAGCGCAAATACCAACAGCATGCTGTGAATTACAATTATGAGTGAAATAAAATAATTTCCCGACCTTTTTGTTGGTTTAAAAAATGAAGCGATACAAATTCAAAAAGAAAACTATATCAACATTTCAAACGTAGTGAAATTTATTATTTAGAATCCCCATCAAACTTTTAACGATGTTTTGTGGTATTTCTATTTAATAAAGATCTTCCACAGTATGAAGTATACTTATATGAAATTCACCGGTCTACCACATAACAGTTAAAATACTATGTCGAGTAAAAGTTGGTTTTTCATTGAATAACCTTTATTAACAATTGATTGCGGATGAAGGAACAATTAACGATGGACACAGGGGCTTTTGAAAATGAGTTAAAATTGTATGCCTTGGTTGAATTAACATTAGTATTTTTCAGCACCCGATGTAGTTCACGTACCTGCGATAGTAAAATCAAGTAAAGGCGGAGATGTTGGTGTCACAATACTATTCCCAGAAGAAAGTAATGGACCAATAAGGTGAACATTGATGGAAAATATACCAAATTACTGTAGATGAGAAAGATTAAAAAGATTTGAGTGCATAGCGATTGTTTTCAATTGGTATATATAGGAAATTGAGCCAATAATCCCACTATACAACTTACGGGCGAACCAATATTTTCCACTGACACGACAAACACAATTCTTGCATGCTTTCATTGTTTATCAGCTGTTTAATGGTGCTGATCGCATAACTACTATTTTCGATAAATTCGTCAGACATACACATATAGACATTTTAAATTGACCCTAAACTCAGTATATGACAGTGAATCGAGTAAAATTTTCACATTATCAAACTTTATTTCACTGTTTAACAGTTGCTTATTTCTGATTCTTGTCTACAAACCTGACAACACTTCAAATCAATGGATAAAAACATTTGATGATCTTGTCAAACTCGCCAAAAGAAAAGTAAATGAAAATGAAGCTTATATAGCATTTGCAATGACAAGGTATTAAATTATTATTTTGGGATTAATAGCCAACCCGCATGTACACAAGCATGTCTAATATGAATAGGCACTAAATCTGTGTGGATAATGGGATGTTTCTTCAATAACACATTATTTTTTACTGGCAAACGCGAAAAAAGATAATATTTGGAGGTAAAAAAATCAGAAACAAAAAATATCAAGTTTTCGAATGAAGAAAAATAGATAGCAAAAATATATTTTAAAAATATACGAATGATAAAAAATAACCGAAATGTAGTGATTATATCCCGAGTTTGAATTAAATTTTTTTATATTTTGTCTTTATTTCAAGGTCAGATATTTCAGATGCGCAAAGTCGTACGATTTCAAAAAACCTAGGTGATGAAACTGTGTCGTCATGCATTGTTAACGCTAATATAAATGCAGTTCGCACAAAACGAGAAGCAGCCACCAAAATTGAAATAAAAGGAAATAACCTAAAACTTGAAGATGGCGCACAATACAGGTGAATACAAAAAATAAATTGTTATGTCCTGCTAGCGGCTTATGCCTGCTTGCGATGGCAATTTCAAATATCTAAAGTAGCACAAAAGTATAATGACTTGACGTCGAGTCTGTATTGTTTTTGATGTTAAAACCTATTGCGGACATTCTATCATAGAACTACTACTCGTAGAACTAAGAAAACTATCAGTATATATGTCAATACCTGAAAATAATTGGACATTATTTACTGCTATTTTTTTTCAGTTACTTTACGATATCTGCATCTCCGGGAGACGACAACGCAGTAATGTTGAAATTTAGCAATGTATCTCACTTCATAAAAGAAACAGCAACGACAGAGGAATGTAAGTGAACTATTTCATAGTACTAATAATGCATAGAATTCTGAATAAAATGCCGATACTGTCATTTTGTAATCTTCATTACATACTATTTTAGCAACCAACACAACGATTGCTATTACTGTCACTTGCATCGAAATCTTAATTCTTGCGGCGTTGTTAGTTTTTTGGATAATTAGAAGGTATGCATTTGAATATTCCTTTAATTTTTATATTTTTTTATTAGTATATTATATTTTGATTCAATTTCAACAGAATACTATATCTTTATAATATATATCTTTTATGTTTCTACATCATTTCGAGATCAGCTACAAAAATAAATTTCTGAATTAAATTTTCAACTCAACCCAGTTCAAAGTTATTTATTTACCTAGAAAGAGGAACAGAAACGAAGAAAGAAAATCAGCCACGCATGATGCTCCCGCTATTAGTCCATATGAAACCACATTCATATCAAGCGTCGCTTCATCAAGTTCTAAACAAATTCAACCAGAGTCCCCATACAGCTACGAAAACGATGCCACGTGTTATGAAGAACCAATGAAGACAATCAAAAAAGACGAAAACAACAGGAAAACATATGAAAATATAAATCCCTACGAGACTTGTGATATCAAGTCAGACTCGGATGAAACTAAGTACGAGGAAGTAAAGCCGAGACGTTGAAAAATTAACTTCCTGAACTCCGAGTTGGAGCGGAGAACATATACCATATTATGTATGAAAATGCTATTCATTATTAATTGTTTTGACCTTTGCTTCCTCAAATAACTATAACTTACTTGTTAGCTGTTTAGGTCAAAGTACTTTGACGTTTCAGGATGTGTATCTTGGCTTAGCCGATTCTCACCAACTCATTTGAGGTTTATTGTAAATTTGTAAAAAACATTTGGATGCATTTGAGAAATCTTAAAAAATATACTTCGTAAACTATGCACAGATTTTAAATTAGCCAATTTGCGATAAGAACAAACTGTCCATTTGAATTGTGTATTGTCAACCCTGGTTACGTTATATGTCAATATTCCTATATCAGTGATTCTATTCTGGATTTATTTTTCAAGCGTCATCTCTCATCTTTGCGTTTAAACTGAGAAAATCACAAGATTGTAATGAAATAGTTGTTTTATGACTAGTAACAAGTTGCATTATCTCATTTTGTAAATATGTATTTTGTGTACAAAATTTATTTCTGGAAAATTGACACGTTTTGAGTAAAAAACTAAAAGTAGTGATTTATTGAAGGAAAAAATAACCGAATAGTGCTGAAATTAAATTCTCTGATTTATTTCCGCTTAAATTAATGATCACATAATTCAAGTATGACCAAATGTAAGAAGTAGTGGCGCTCTTAATACGTTTCTAATTAACCCGACTTTAAAAATGTACTATACTATACTTCACCATGGGGTGATGGAAACAGCCAACAAGCTATTTTATGCTTGTAAAGTTCCATTTTTCGTGTGAACAAAGAGCTAGGTTTGCTTTCTTTTCCGATTGTTTTTATTCAATCTGTAATTAAGAACTTAATTGTGTGTGTATCAAATATATTTCAAAAATGCAATCTTGATGGATACTGTGTAGCTTGTATTAATTTGTTGTTTGACTTGCTATGTTTTCTTTTCAAGATTGAGTTTATTGAAACAGAACTCACAGGACCGACATATTGATCATTGTTACTTAGTGTAAATTTTAGTATATGTTTCAAACAGTATTTGCTGATATGCACATGTAATTATTCAATCGTGGAGAGAGTCTAATGAGTTTAAAAGAACCAGTTTAGCATAGCTTGCGCATTTACACTTTGCATTCGTTTGTTCTTCGTTTTTGCTTGCGTTGGGGCTATTTTAAAAAAAAACTTAGAAACATTTAATATGAAAAGTTTGGTACGATAAATCGACACATCGAATAAAAATAATACAACGTTATTGTTATAATTTTATACTACATCTTTAGCGAATGTGGAATATAACTATGGATTTCAATATTATTTAACCCTTTCGTATTAATAGTAAGTGAACATAATGAAAATATGTCATTTCAGCAATTTCACTAATGGTGATTTATTGTAGCAAAGGCGTTACTCTTCGTGCAGAGATTTTTTATATCAACCGATCTGTTACGAGTTTCCGTCCTGCATGCGCGAGTTGAGATTATAGTGTTTTTTTATGTTTTGTGCATTCTTTCGGATTTGGATTTTCACCGTATAGCTGGTATTAAGATTTAAGTGTATATTTCAATATATCTGTTTGGATTAAATTCGACCGTGCAGTTTTACAAAATACGAACATTTAGTATTACAGTATAGTGTGTGCTTATTGACCCTCAAAATTGGGGATTACTCCTCTGACGTATGTATAATAATGATACGGGGTAAGGGCACTCAGATAGGGACATATTTAAATCAATAGATACATTCCAGCTTGTCGGCGGCCTTACTCTGAGTGGAAACAGGAAGTGTGCTACCATACTTCACCTATCCATCGCTGTGGGTGAAATAATACGTTTTTAAGTGTGGTACTAAACTACAACGATTGCTATATTCCAAAATTCATAATCCTGTGCTGCTTGTCTAATGGCTCGCTCTGAATGAAAATGTAGAAGGCCCTATGACAAGAGTGTGGTACTAAACTTCATATATCAATGGAATTAAAATTACAAGTCATCATATATGTGGTACCAAATATTAAGCCTTATTATGAGTGTGTTGCTACACTGAATATTAATAATTTTGTTTCTGCTTGCGTAAGACTTATTTAAAGGTAAAATGTTAAGAACCTTTACAGGGTAATAACTCAAAATAACTCAAAAATTTCAACTTGGTATTTTTACAAAGTGATTATTTCGTTAACGTCATGTTTATTTTGAACTCGCGAGAATTGCTAGCATATGTCATGTGGCATTGTATTTATCGTAACGGAACCATTGAGGGCATTCGCCTCTTTAATTTGAAAAGCTCTGTTGCGCGATTGTGACACCGCACTGGCGTCAATTTTAAATGTCCTAATAAAATGACGGGTATCAGTCCAAAATAACATGTTCAAAATAACAATGCAAAAATTGTTAGGCAACGCTCACAAGGATTGTCTGTCGTACCTAACCACACGAGACATAAATTCTGACTGAAAACTTTCCCAAAATACGGAATCAGTGTAACTAACAACGCATACGTACCAATATTAACATAAGAAGTCACGATATAATTGTCGAAACTCTATGATATGATTTCCAAGATAAACGAAACTCTTATAAATGCATTAAAACCTCCAACACTCACGTTTTATTTCAGTGCTTTGTTAGTCGGTGCCGGTACATCCGAATTACCAAAAGAACAGGATACATTGCATGTGAATCTCCATTTGAGGTCCACGCAGACACACAGCAACTGGTTGACTTGAGTGATGTTCTAAAATATCGACAAGTTAAATTCTTCAACTACAACATGCACGAACACGTAACATAAGCAAACTCCGGGGTACCACGAAACGCGTGGACTTGGGTGGTAGGGTTGCCAGTTATTCAGAACAGACATAGCATCAACAATAACTCATCAGGCTAAGACAGCGGTTTGCCCGTGGTCCTCAAAGAAAGCCACATACTAGCTGGAGGGAGCCACATTGCTATGCGCAAAATTGATTTTAATGTGATTTTGTTTGCATACTTTTTCTTTCATAAAATATTCCCCGTTCCCCTATTCTCATTACCTGGTAAGCTCATTTTCAGTCACAGGGTATTTTCACTTTCTTGAACATGAATTGTTTGATCATAGTGTGATTTCATTTATTATTCAATGTACGAGTTAGGCATTGCCAAAAACGCTATGCGGTGATTTCCTTCTATTAATGTTAATCTGGGTATTTCTTGTTACTTAATAGTTTCCGTATATTTCATCCTTGGAAAAAAAGCGTTAAAACTATTTGTCCGCTCATAAGATGCTGAATTCTGTTCTGTTCCTAAAATGTTGTTCTTACATTAGATGCTTAAAGTTACAATGAGTAGAAATTGTACTGATAAAACATCACTCTTCGGCCTGCATAGATATATAATATATAGTCCAGTGGTCGGCAACCACCGGGCCGCGGCCCATTGCCGGTCCGCGGAAAGGTTACTACCGGAAGGGTGCAGTCAGCAGAAGGGTGACACAAAAATGAACAAGGTCAAAAATACCTTTTACAATCTAACAACCACAGACCCTACAACTAAAAAAGATCACCCAATAGCAAAGTAGACAAACACAACGCATGTGAGCAGCATGTCTGACTTTACAAATAATTTTCACGTCAATACCTTCTTTGAACGATGAGATGGTCTTGTCAACGACGAAATAGGCTGGACGTAAGCAACATCTTACGTGTAGCCTATCGCTGTCGACCATGTCTCCGAATTGAAAACAGGTGATGGGCAGCAACTAAAGCAGATCTCGATGAAATAGCATCACTTTTGTTTTAGAATATGCCAAATAAATTTTCGTATTTCGTAATACTTATTACATATGCTTATAACTGTACCTAAGTTCGTTTGTATAAAAGTGACCCGCCAAAATTGTTGTCAAGCTTTACCGCCACGCAAAAAATACTTTATAATTCACTGGCTCCAACATTAACGATGTTGTGAAAAATAACAAACTGACTAAAGCAAAACGATGTTTTGTCATCGTGTTCTGACTAAGTTCTTTTAATAACCTTCTATTTCATTTATCATAATATTATAGTTTTGATTACATTGCATAGGTATTAAATGTGCAGTATATTATGTTGCGCATGTATGCACACAGACGCAACTGATATTTCCTCCTAAAACACCCACATTGGTACTGGATATTGCTTTGGCATCATTTACATAAAGTCTTTGTATGAGGTGTGGTACGCAACAAGTCAGTATAGTTGATGGTAGTTGTAAATAATATATATTTGCTAAATATTCAAGAGCTATGTATTACGAAATTTGCTACAGTTGTGAATGTCCCATTTTTGTAAGATTTTGTGATGGATTGATGTTGATTAAAAATTACCTCTTTATCTTAAAAACTTATTATCTTATAGAAAAAATGTATGTAATTGATGATAGTCACAAAGCAAGAAAAATAGCTATGTCTAAGAGAGATGAAGATGAATAAAATCATGTTTAAATATCGCAATTCTATTAAAAATCACTTTAATGATGAATATTATATTTTAGAGAGGTAACCAGGCTTTGATCGTCGGTCATTAAATATTTGGGTTTTTTGTGTAGAGTTTGAAACAGGGAAAATTGATTAAAACACACTTACATGCCTAATATGTGAAGTGAATCACTTTTTTCTTATTAACAGTAATACTCCTATGATTCACTTTTATACGCTTACAAACTCATGCCACCATTATCCCGGCAATCGAAAGTTATAGAGAACTTATACGGAGTCGTGTTTAAACCGTAACAATAGTTTTTATTATCCCGAACTCCGATGGTGCCCTACAGATAAACGATATGGTACATTACCTTACCGAGGACGAGGATTACCTTAAGTTACTTACCTTAAGGATTACCTTAAGTGCTTCAACTCTGTATTTTTAATTTCAAAAATGCGTAAGTTTCATTTCTTAGACCTATGCGCACTATATTACATTCCGAAAAACCTCAATAACATCATGTGCACTCATTGCATTTTATAATTTATGATGAACTATGTACATCCATGCATCTATAACATTGGACTCTTTTCAGATCTATAACGAAGGAAAGAGTGGGAAGTGTTTGTGAACTCAGCAAGCAGTCAAATATGTTCATTGAGTGTTTGGTATGCAATGACGCTGATCCCACCATCATAATATTCATCAAACAATCATTGACTAAATTGCGTACATTGTCAAGGAAATTTGAAAAATAAAAATAAATCTGATTCATTTCTCTTGTCTATAGATTGCTTCAATTCATTACTGTAGAGATGTGAATTGCATAAAAACAGTTTCAGTATTCTGATTGGTGCTTGCATAACTGTTTCGAACAGCATATATATATATATATTTATTGTCAAAAGCCATGGCCATTTTCATCATGTACGGAGATGACTACCAAAATAGTACTCAACAAAGAAATAAAAAATCGCAGATTCTAATTTTTTCACCTAAAGTCCATTTGGCATTAGGGCAAAACTAGTTATGCAATAAAATTAAATTTGATCTTGATTAATATAAACTATTTTTTTTACGAAGAACAAACAGTGTAAATGTGATATATTTATAGTATCTGTAGAAATTAATATGTGGTTTTTATTGATTTGGATTTCATTGTTCAATCTGACTCAGGCACAAACCCCAACAAGTAAGTGGATCTCATTTTGCTTCTCAAAACATATACGAACCTTCTTTGAACAATTATTACGTAAGTTGTTTGCAACTCTTTGAACATAATTTATCGCATATACCGGCGTCACAT